TAACAGAATGTAAACAAGCTCCTACTGGTTACCCCACATGTTCTAATAACATCATTGGTGATTGAAAGAGTTGATTGGTGCCCCGTGTCTATCCCACTCCTCCAATTGGATTAACCTACAGATCAAGTTCCATGAGATCAATAAAGCTACTATTTGTTCAGGCTGAGATCTTTCTCTCCTATCATTCTGGTTAGGTAAAGTTCTAGACCAAGATCTCTTTTTTATCCCAGTCAGGCAATAAGACTGAATGGTTTTTAGTCCATGCTAGGCTCCAATCCTTTAGTTATAGTTGAAAATGCATTTCTCCAGAAGTTTTTAAAGGATATCACAATTGATGAGAGTCTTCTGGTACCCTTCCACCATTGTAAAGCAAAAAAATCTTTGGGGAATAACTATTTTGGGCAATGAATGATATATACCAATAAAATTCCTTTAACTAGGTGTGGCTGCTGGAAGGTATCATACTGAAACAACACAACCCAGTTCCTACTAGGTCACATAAGAACCTGGGATCCATCGTAAGTTACCTTTTCATCGCAGATGAATAAAAAATCACTTTCCAAAAAAGGTTGGGACCAAGTGTGTCCTGGAAGTAAAGGATCCCACTAGGCGATAAGTCTTTTCAGATGGTACACAAAAAGGAAATCAAGATCAAGAATAGATAAGTTCCTCAGACAGTCAGAAAAAAAAAAGAATATTTTAATTGGACATTTCTTATGAATAAGAGGTCTTGAAAAGCAAGTCTTTGGAAAAAGCTAGAAATATTTTTTCCAATTTCAATTTTTATATTTTTATTTTCTTGTTGTCTGCTTAGACATTTTTAGATATCTCCACCTTTTTTTTTAACCCATCCTTTTGTAGTTTTCTGTATTCCAGTGGCTTGGACTGACATATGGCAGTGGAAACCTGCTGACAATGATACAGTGAACTAGGAGGGTTTTTACCTAAAGACACTGTGGAGTGAAATATTGTTCTCAAGATCAAACAAAGAGACTATTATACTTATAATAAGTTAGTTATATTAGAATAATAGTTTAGCTGTAGTATGTATCATGCTGCTCAAATAAAAATATATTTATGTTTTCAATTGATTAATAAATCAACAATCTAGCCTGGCTATGGGTATACAAAAAAAAAAAAAATAAATAAATACACTATGCTAGCTTAATCATGGTTTCAAAAAAAATAAATAATAAAAAAATAAAAAAATAATAAAAATATTTAAAATAGTATATTAAATAAATTATATTTATAAAATTATTTTTAAACTTTGTAAGAATAATAAATATATTAAGTAATTACTTGAAATATTGATAAAATTATTTAAAAAAATAAATAATATTAAATATATTTATAAAATATAATATAATATATTACTATATATTAATATTTAAAATTTTATGAACAACTTTTTTCCAATTACTTGAGGTGCAACAACCTCAGTAACAGGAACATGGCTTCCAACACTAGAAATATCAAAGTTTCACAACTTGAATAACAGATAATAAAAAGAAACCAATGTGCAGAAAGAAGAAGTAAAAAGATTGTCTCTCTTTATAACAAACTATATGTCAAGAAGCTCACAAATACATAGATAAAAATATCAACAACTTTGGCAGCAGAACCCAATCAAGAAAGTGAGAAAACAAATATTCATAAAAACCCAATAGTTACAATTCCAGATGCAATTAGTATAGAAATAAAATCAGAACCACCTCATGAAGGACAGATGTGAAGTAAACAGATGGAGAAAGCTAAAAGTAGAACAGGAGACCTATTGGAAAACCTTGTACCTATGATAAAAAAAGACTCAAACAAAGGCAAACTACATAAGGGGACCTGTGAACTAGCAGCAAATAGTAATGAAGAATGATCTAATGAACAAGCTTTTGAAGAAAGGGAAGAGAAACTCTGAACATCAATAGGCTACAAGACTAATATGGTGTGCCACAACAACAAGCCAAGATTAAGGACATTAGTCAACTTAGAGATTAGATATGGAAGATATCATTTCAAAGTGGCATTGATGCCAATATCATTCCTGGTATGAACAGCAACACAAAAATTCTTTATATAATCAAAGTTCTCAATTCTCCCTTAGAACTAATCACGATCAGCAGTGAACACAGCAAAGAGGGAACATAAATCATCATGATTTTTAGAGATCAACAAGTAGCAGATAATGCAATAAGAATGGAGTTACCTAATCTAGATGACAATAAGCTCACACAAATGTAGATCGGCAGACAATTAATCAAGAAAGGCAAATTTATAGTGGTCTGTGACATACCCTTGAATACCAGTTGTGAACTTTAAAGTAATAATTCTTGATTATTTTTTAACAAATTTGGTATAATATAAGTATTATTTTATTTATTAAAGTAAATGTTATATTTATATATTAATATCATATTGAATAACTATTTGTTACAATAATAGTAGCAACTCTTTGCAGCATACTATTAATGAAATTAATTAAAATATCAGGTTTAATTAAATTTTATTCTTTCTTTAAAGCAATTATCAATTCAGTTTTATTTTTAGGACAATTGGATTATTCATAAACTTTTCTTTCTAAAACATTCCATAAATATCTAATTAAATTAAGATTTGAACTTTGAGAAGATTATAAAAATAATTGAATTAAATTATTTTTTTTTCTATTTTTTCACCAGTTTTGTTTTATGTAAAGGAGAATTATTATCTTGAAAAAAATACAAAGAATTATCAAAAAAAGGTTTAAGATAAATTTCAAGAATTTCTAAATATCTTTGTTTATTAATTAAATAAGAAATTTCAATTAATGGTCCAAGTGCATTTTGTATAAAACAATCCCATATCATTGCATCTTTTTAATCTGATTTTACAGTAGATAAAACATATTCTAAATTATATTTTTCGTGTAGTTTTCACTAAACCCATTTATATACTGTAAATCATTCTTAAATATTAAATATTGAGATTTATCACTCCAAACAAATAATTGCTACTCAATAGTCTAATTTTTATTATTATACTATTTTAATATTTTTGTCTATTTTGCTCTGAAATAAAAGGGTTTCTCACTCCAGATTGCCCATAATAACCTTGTTCATAGAGTTTATAATAGATATTCTTATCACTAATTGAAACAACCATGGCAGTATTGAGTTTTTTAGTAATTTGTTCAACAGCTTGTTGATGATTATCCTTGACAATTTTAATTACATGCCTGATTACATGAGCACTCATTATTCTTGGTCTACCTGACTGTGAAACAACCTTGACTTTTCCAAACTTCTTATACTGATTAATCACACTTGTAATTGTTGTTCTTGGTCAGTTTAAAGTTTCTGCAATCTTTTTTTGTGAAAAACCACCTTTAAAAAGACCAACTATTTCACCATATTCAAAATCTGCAACTGAAAACCTTTCTCTTATTTTTGAATGTTTGACATAATGGTAAGAAAAATTTTTTAATTTATCCGAAAGCTATGTTTTCAGCTTTCTAAAAATCTAAATTATTTTATATTTACAGCCGAATATGTTGCATAATTGAATTTAACCTTGGGCGAAAATTTCTAAAATATTACCGTTGATCATTTCGGACGCAGACTTTTGTCCACCCAGTGTATATAATATTATATAATGAAAACACCCACTTAAATTTCAGAATTGAGCAATAGCCTTAGACCATAGAAACACTCCCAAAAGCCTTTCAGAAAGTGTGTATCTCTATGGTCTTAGAGATGGCCCGAATCTTAATACTAATGTGTACACTCTTTTTTTATTGCGTTGTGCTAACCTGAGTAGCAAGAAGTCCAAATCCGTGAGTAAACATCTAATGGATGAATTGAATAATTGTAATATCATCTCCTCGATGTTGCGTATTGGACAATTAAAACTATATATTTTTACCGTTTCATGTCCGGCGGAGTATTGTTCTATGAAAAAAATTTCAAAATCATTTGGGAAAAATTTGTCAACAATGACAAGGAAACGTCGATTACGTATTCATTACGTAGAATGTCGCTCAACTAATAGGATCGTGGGTTTAGTCAAATTTAAAAAAGACGATTTTAAGCAAGGTTTTGCACAAGCTACGGTGCAGATGGTATCTTCATTATCTTACAAACGTAAAGCAGACGAAATAGACTGCGGATATGGTTTTGATAAAGTATGGGGAATTGTGAGATATGCGGAAAAATGATATTTATGGAGTGTATGCTGGATTTGGAAGCCGACGACTAAACAATCGGGACCAGTACCATTGAATACGAAGATGAGGATTATAAAGCTAAGGTGAAAAAGGTCCTCAGACATATTTTATGTTATTGGAGGAGGCACAGAAGCCGGCAGAAGCCTTCTAAAGTAATGAGCGATCGAAGGTAATAAAAAATCATAACTCATCGAGTAATCTCGCAGAAAAGTTGGGTTAGATGATCGTGTATATTAGTGGCATAGAGAATTCTTTATGTATTCCGGGTTACGTTTCGATCGTTGTATTTATTTTTACATGTATTAATAAAAAATTTTTAATGATATTTTCCTTGCCCGAGGTGATCAACGTTATGAAAAGTAACACTCATGTGATTTTTTAGGTTATGACGAATGTCACGATCAAACCGTATTTCATAGAACGTACGCTAGGCAGTAAAAGCAAACCTTGTTCAAGTTTCCGAAGCTCTTATTTATTATTATGCAGATAAGGATATGAAATAGAAGATGAAGATGTAGACGCTTGAGAAACGCTTTATTAATTCCAAATTTTGCAATAGATATCTATATAGAAATGAAGTTTTCGTCTAAATTGGTTAATTTGCTTCGGAAGTTATAAAAACGTGTTAACGACTTTTATTTTCGCATTTTATATTTGCAATTTTAAATCACAATAAAATAAACGAATTTACAATTTTCACTATGTTTATAAGGCCGTTGCTGGCGCACTATCTTTGAGAAAATAAAAGGAGATTCCCAATATAAGTATTAAGAAAATAAAAGGAATTTTCCAAAATAAAGTATTACTCATTAACCCGAAAAAAGGGATCAAGGTCTTGACGCGGGATTTTGGTTCTCATGTTACAATCTTCCTTATCAGAGAATTCGAGTCTTTTTCGTTCTTTCATGATAGTGATAGCACGTTCTTTTCCAATTTTCTCAATCCCAGTCAACTGAGTATATGTTGCTTTATTAATATCTGGTGGTCCCAAGGCATAATTATAGCACCTCCCAGCAAAAGGTCCAAAGTATTCTTTCCAATTTTCTTTACTAATAATAGCCGACATTGGGTTTCGAAGCTTAAGTCCCTTGCAGGATGTTGATGTATATAAAATAAAAATATCCCCTTGACTTGTTGCTTTTTTATGTTCATCATCAAATTTTTGTTGAGAAATGGTACCGTTTACCAATTTGCATTGATGTGTTTCCATTTGTAGCTGACCAGTATTTACCATTTTTATTGGACAAAAGATATCAGAATATTTAGCATCAGGTACATTGACTACAATATGTTTTCCTTCCGCAATGTCAACTTCTTCAGCCTGACATAAGATTTTTGTATCTTGATTATAATCTCCAGATTTAGTGCTGACCCTCCTAACCGAATGTGTTAAAATAAGATTTTGATTATATATCAAGGAATTTTTAATAAAGTTATGCTTTGCCCCATTATGAATAGTACACAGATCAACTTGTTGTCCTTCCTCATAGACGTATGATTTTAGTGAACGAAATTGTGCAACAAAGTACTCAAAATGTTGCCAGTATTGACAACCAGGTGGGATACTAGATTCTCCGCTTCTATTAAATAACTCTTTATAGTAAGCAAAATCCCAATTCCGTAACAAGGGATCATTTGAATTACAATTGTTTGCATGAGCCATAATCCATAACCAAATATATGGACACGATAGATGACCACCAACTAGATCAGGATATGAATTTTCAACCCTAATAAGTCCAAATTGAATTAAATCATCTATTTTTATTTCATTTCCTTTAAGCCCCATAATAGTATCATCTTTCCTAACAATTGTGTGTGATAGAATAATACGAAGCATTGGTTTCAGATATTCTGTTTTATTTAACCATCCTGAATAATTTTTTATAAGAGCTGATAGCACATCATTTATTAGGTCGATATAATTGACTTCACTCAGATCTCTATCATTAAGTACCTCACCCAAAGCCTCCAAAGCACGTCCGTGGCCTCCCATATCATCAATGAGCATTTTTGTTACTGGATCATTGGCAAAAACAGGACTGTTGTTTATTTTTGGAGGTTTCAATAATGTAGTTGGAAGAAATATTCTTAATTGAGCTGATCTGGCAAGGGAATAGTGAATGGGCATGCTGATGGTAGCTGTACTACAATTAATAATAAATGGACCAGAAGTTGAAAGGATGTCAAGTACAGTGATGCAATCATAAAAAAAGACCATCTATCATTTCCATCATCGAATTTATCCAATGCCATCTGAAGCCCATCCAGAATAATAATTACATTAAGATCCGTAAATTTCTGATTGTAATTTTTGGCAATTCTATGCAATACATCTTCTGGTGTTGCATCATATCGATTATTAAACACATTCCAAGATTCACCGGGCTGCTGTAACAACTGAAAAAGCATTCGATTACCAATTGCATTAATGCGATTAGATTTTTCCATCCCAGTTAATTTGGTTCCATTTTCAAATGATATATTAAACACAAAAGCAGACTTTAGTCGATTTTGTAAGTTAATATCATCATTTGTATATTCGATCAACAAATTTGGCAATTCCTGTGCAGTGCGAGATTTTCCTTCACCAGCTCCGGCTAGAATGAAGTATTGCGGTATTTTTATTTTATCAAGTTGTCCAGCCTTCCAAAATTTGAAATGATCACGAATAGCATTCTTTAGTATTTGTTTCAAAGTTTCTGAGGCTTGAAAGTCCCAAGAGGAACCACTACCCTTGGCAAGAGGTTGAGGATCACGATATTTCAATGTTTCAGGCAAGTTTCGTGCTGGAAAAAAAAAAAAAAAAAAAAAAATGATATTTTGTTAATGCAAATTTCTTTTCAAGAGGAAAACATTGAAACATGATTACCAATGGTAATGGGCGGTGGTTGCACAATGAGGCGGATGTTACTAGAGGATTCATGAAAATATTCTCCAACAGTTTTGAATGGAGATAACATTATACCTTGGTATTGTTCTTTGATATTTTCGGCATATATTTTGGTTTCCAGATCTTCACCCTCGGTAGGAATATTCACACTCCATAGAACCAGGCTGTCCGCGGATGCATGGTTTAAATCGGGTTCCTTCTTCTTTTTGATGAGTTCCTTAAGATGTCCAATGGTCATATCTTTACTAATATCAACCGGGAAAGACCTCATAATGGCTTCACCTAAAACGACACAAAAAATCTTGAAACTCATTAAAATCACTTGCAAAATTATATAATTTGTAGAATTTAAAAAACCACGGTATCAGATATATAAATTACGAAGTCCCAAAAATGGTTAGAGAGTTTTAAATAAAAAAATGTTTCAGTTTATACGTAACATGACGTATTTATAAAACAATGCACGAGGCTTGTAGGCTATACGTTTATGTAATCCGACTTAACAAAAAAATCGGGCATAAAAAAAATTTAAATTACATCACAGTCTGATAGCATACTACTGTATATGCTACTCTCATCTTGATTGTTGTATATACGCAACTTACCGATTATCGACATTCCCACGCTACTTTTATTTTGTGAAAGTATCTTGAGTAGGACATCAGTTCGTCGAATAGTGTTGTTTTTGCATTTTCCACTATTAGTAATACACCGTAAACTTTTTTGTTCCACGTTTCCAGACTGTCGTGCAAAAATTAAGCAAGTAATGGACACGTCTACCAGTAAACGAAACAAAACAGATACACCAAACAGAATTTACAAAGGAAGGTGCGACGACATATAAAGAAAGCAAAGCTTACGGGACACACTAACTAATCAATTGACGAAGGACCCACTATACCCAATTCCAACGATGACCAAGGCATCACACTCGATTCTATTAACAACCAAGACAATCAAACAGATGACGAAAGATCCGAGATATTCTACAATAAAAAAAAAAAGTGACTATAAAAGATATATTGTGGTTATAGGTATTTTTAGCAAAAAAATGTGAGAAAGGTAGTTTTTTATTGCATGATAATATGATATGGGTTTAGGGTCAGTCATCGCCTTTCGAGGCAGGCTTAGAGAGTCCGACTGTTCCCTCCCTAGTGCGAAAAATCTTCACTTTATATTTTTTTGACCCTTTAGGGAGGTCTCTTTGAGGTATTTTTTCTATTCTTTTTCTTGGGTGTAGTCTTTGCCCTCTAAGCGAGGTGTAGGGAGAAGAGCATGGTCGCGAAAACTTCCCATTGTTTACAAAGAGTGATTTAATTGTATTCACCAAGAAAACTTCCTTATTTCTTTAGGTCGTGACCAATTATTTAGCTTTAATATCTTTTTACTTTAGCATAAAATCCAAGCAGGGACGCATCTATCTACAGAAAATTAATCGCGATAATATATTCGTTCCCTATGGATGCTTGAGGATTTTTTAGCCAGCGATCTTAAATCAGTTAATAACTATGAACCTATCGATATTATTTTTCCTCAATTTACATTTTTGGAAAAGTTTTTCGAGAAGAGATTACAAAAACAAATTAAAAGTTAATCAATAAAGGATCATTTCCCTCACATATTATAAAGCATAATAATTATTCACTAAAACTTGATACACTCTCCAATTCCCAGTTAGACATATTTTCAGATGCTATCTATAATGAAATATATAGAAATGATGTTAATGAAAAATCGCCTGCCTCAAAACAGTCAATATCAACTACCTATGTAATACCTGCGAATTATCTGCGTCTTCTTGGGTCAGAAATTTTTGATAATAATAACTACGATTCTACTAAATCCATGGGTTTAAATTTGGAACGAAAAAAAACATGGGAGACTTCACACGTTGGGCATGTTTCTTTATCGGTTTAAATTTCAAAAAATAGTTTCGGGATCCTTGCCGTCACCTCTGATTTAAAGTTGAGCATGCATACTAACACAATGAAGCTTAGAATAAACCACTTGAAATCATAATATTTGTGAAGTATTTCAGAAGAATCAAAAGAATTTGCATAATTTTATATGACTTATTATTTTATACGTCATATGTAGCAAAGAATAAATTGTTGATTTAATTATTGTTTATTTATAATGATTTATTGATAAAAACAAAAGTTTGTAAAGTTTCTTCTAGTACCTAAAAAGGTATAAATTGATACTGATCTGGCTAGAAGCTTGTAATGTTGATATTGGGCTCTCCTAAGCTTATTGTTTCTATCTTCATATAAAAATAAAGCAGAGAAAAAACAAAGTGAAATTTCTAAACTTTTACTAATAGATGAGTTTCTTTGAATATTATTTATATTGTATAGTTTGTCTTTAGCTGTTAGCTTGAAGTGGTATAATGTTTTTAGCTGGCTTTTCTTTTCTAAAGAAATTATCAAAAAAGAAAATTTTTAAAAAAAAAATAAAATTAGTAGAAAGAGTTTAATTTGACTGGCTTATTATATTTTTTAAATAATATATTTTTTAACTAATATTATATAATAATAAGTTAATTAATATATAAATAGTCAATATAATATTGTGGATGTTTATTTAATATATCAATAAGAGTATATTATAATTGTATAGTAATAAATTTTGTGAAAAAGTATTCATATAAGTACTATATAATAAAAAATTATATTAATCAAGACAAAAATTTCTTTATTATTATTATTTAGATTATGAAATGTTTTTGAAAACAATTTTATATTTATATTAATTAATAATTTCTTTTATAATATAGTATTAATATAAAATATAATAATTAGATTTATATATAGAAAAAAAAATAAATTTTTAAATAATTAAAAAAAATTCCTTTGATTAAAAATAACCAGGTTTCTTAAATAATCAAAAGCAACAAATTTTTATATTGTGCATTTCTTTTAAAATATCATTAATACCATAAACAGGAATCTATTAGAAAGTTGTGAATAATAATTTTTTTTTTATATATTTATTAATTCAGCAATTAAAGATTTTAAAATAATAAATAATGGAACACTATTAAAAATAATTTTCTAAATCTGATGCCATAGTGTGAGATTGGAGAAAAGTGAAACATCTCTTCTAAATTTGACTGAAAGTATTTAGTTAAAATTTGTTTTGTTTAGCTTAGACTAGCTTAGTGAATTTTCTTAAATTTTTTAAAAGTAGTTTAGTTCTTCAACTGATAATATACAAAAATGAATTGTTTATTATGGGATGTGATTGTATTTTTACTTCAATAATGACTAGTAATGATGCATAATTACAAATTAAAAATATATATATATATATATATATACATACATATTTGCATATGAAAAGTTATAAAAAAAAAAACTCTTTTCTACAGATTCTTTTTTTCTTAAAAATTTTCTTTTTAGGCAATTTTGTGAACTAAGAAGAAAAATGAATGGAAAAATGAGTTCTCCAAGAGAACAACAAAAGCAATATACTCAGGGTAAACCTAACTATAATGAGAATGTCCTAGCTAAAGATAATATAAGGTTGTTATGCAAAGAAACACAAATGGAAAAAGATAAATTTCTGAAGAAAGATAAAGGAAAAGAAAAAGAAACCCAGCTAGAAAACCCTAGATATGAACTACAGCAATACCCAAACATTAATCAAACTCTCAACCCTTATCAAACAATGGAAACAAGACAACAAAATAACAAAAAACAATCCTCATAGAGTGAACAAATTGCAGAAACAATCTAGCCAAATTTACTAGATAACAATAATCAAGCAAACACAGGCACTATGACTACCAGACCCAGCACCAATTAAGAAGTTCAGAAGTTTATATCTGACAATAGAAACTCTGATATAGAAATGGAGAAAATAAGCAGTAACAAAAAAAACAATCAACAAAGTGAAGAAATATGACAAGAGATCACATCCAAAATCAGAGGAATGACAAGCAAACTCAGCAAACCCAGATCAAGAACTATTATTGATAGGACCACTAGATTTGGCAGGGAAAGAGTTAAAATAGGAATCAAGGCCTCCCTTATTCCAGAAAGAACCTTCAGCCAAAAAATTACACATATAATCAAAAGTCTTAACTCTTTTAATGGCCTCCTCTCCACCCACAATGAAGTAAAAGGTGAAGACGAACATATTATTGCTATTTTTAGTGATCATTTCACTGCAGAAGAAGCATGCAACACTATCTTACTCGATACTGAAAATGCACATTTAGAACACATGGCTTTTAAATTATCTAAACCAGATAAAAAAATGAGTATCAGAGTATGGGACATCCCTCTGAACACTAAATTCATAGACATACAACAAACATTTACCAAATATGGGAAGATCACTAATATCTCCATGTCAACACAACAAATATGGCAATCAGTAGTCATTACATATGTAGATCATCAATCAAAAGAAGATCTAATCAACAAGTGAAGTATCCTATTGTGATCAGACTCAGTTAGAATTTTTGATACACAATGGGACATGGACTAAATGAAAGCATATGACAACACTGCAGTAAAACTAACCAATCTTTCTTCCAACACCACAGCCTTTAATCTCAAATATATATATAAACAAACAAAAACAAAAAAATATTATATTCTGAGACATTTGTCATATAAATGCAAGCATTTTGATATAATAGGATTTAGCAATCAAAATAATCTAGAGAATGCAATAGTACAAAACTTTACCTTGGATGAAATTTAAACTAAATGAAAACCAATCGACACAAAACTCTGCACAATATATGGCAGTACAACGTATCTAGTTATTCAATGCCCTATTAAGGAAAGAAGAGAACAGTGGAACCACTATAACACAGAACAAGCAAATAGATTTGGTAAACTCTATAATAGATTAAGATCTGCCCGCACTGAAACAATCAAACAAAAAACTCCAAACAACAAATATACTAAAACCAGATCAGGTTTATATGTAGCAGGTGTTAAAATATTAAGAGAAAACAAAGCAATGGAACAGTCACATCAACCTGACTTAACACAAATCCTAAACATCTTTAATGAAATCAAACAAGAAATCTTATAGATTAAAGAAGAAATCATAAACCTGAATGAATGCATTATCAATCTTAAGACCTACAATGAAAAATATAGTAAACACATGGAAAAGGACACAATTTTGTATGGTAAAAGAGATGATAACCCAATAATAGAAGAGGCTTCTATCAATAATAACCAAGATATCTATATTCAACAACAACAAATTCAATTATTCATGCAAAAACTCAATTAAAATATGGATCACATATATAATATAATACTTGATTTTTTTATAGGTAATACACAAACCTCTCCAAATCAACAATAATAAAGAATAACTCGAATATCAAAAATATACAACACCAAAAAACACCTTATATCAATATCATCACCATATAACATCATATTAAAAAGAAACCCCTCAAAATTCAATAAATATAATAACTGATAATGATACACTTCCACCAATACATGTAATAGAATCCACACAGACAAATAGACACCTTTACAAACCCATTTGAAAAGTTATCACACTTAACATACAAGGACTTATAAAAACACACAAATAAGAAATATGGTTTAACTTTTGCAGCTCAGCAAAATGTGATATCTTAGTCACTATAGAAACCAATGGCTCCACCACCAATCAAAACACTGGCAACATGCAAAATATCAAACTATTTGGACACATAAGGAATACCAAACAATCGACCAAGGTACAATATGATGATACGTAAAGAAATAGCTTATCGAATATACAACTTTAAAATATTGGCTGGAAGACTTATCACTACTAACTTAGCTTTCTTACACAAAGAAAAAATGAGAATTATAGGAATATACTTCCTAGTACAAGATATTGAAGGAGAGAAGCACACAGTTACCAACATCCTAACAAATAATCCAAGAAACAACAGAAAAAGGCTGGCACATTATGGTACTGGGTGATCTCAATGGAGTTCCTAATCCTTCTATGGATAAGTAAAACAACAACAGGATGAGCAAAAAGTGCAGCCCTTCAGGCAAACACATACAGACTCTACTAGACAATAAATTAGAAGATACATACAGAAAACACAACCTAATCAAATGTGAGTATATATGAAATAGAGGTATATTGAGTAGCAGAATTGATCAGATATGGATAAACCCCATAGCAACCTGGCAATCTAGGATAGCCACTATTCAAGATTCTACAGTATCTCTTATACAAAGTAATCACAAGCCAATAACAATGGAATTGGAAGTCTGGTATTTAGACAGATCCAAACAAGCCTTATATTATATATCTAATTCTCGTCTAAACTGACATCTGACCACAACTGAACAATAGAAAAAGTTCAATAAACAAGTAGAACACTATCTCTTTACCAAAAGCATAAGCAATCAAGATATTAATCAAAGATGGAACTGCTTTAATGTTATTTTACAAAAAGCTGCAAAAAGCCACATACCTAAAATAAAAAACCACTATAGAATAAGAAACAATTACAGTAATACAGAAATAGTCCCCCTTTTTATAAAACTGCAGAAATTTCTTACACACGTCAGATAGTTAGCAACAGTAACAACAAAGAACTAAGCTCTACAATCAATCAAACCACCTAGCCAAATATAAGAACTTCTTCCAAACTTAACGGCAACACTAAACAAAATTAAAACTAACAATTCCTCCT